CAGATCTTGCCGGTATTGAACTGCACAAAACTGCACAACCAGTAACGTTCCCTGATACAGTAGTAGACTTTAGCCAACAAGATGTCATCTCAACTGCGCGCGCTCCTTTCGTCTTCCTCTCTTTCTTCTCAATTTTCAGATATACATAATTGGCAAGCTAGGATAACACAACTTTTACAATCGCATTGTCTTCCAGGAAAGGACCGTCAGGGGAAAGGAGCAATGAACCGGCTGTGAAGCATATCTTCAAGCAAGATGGTCCAGACTTCAAGTTCCTACTTCGCTTGTTCCACAATGGAACCATAACTGATGAACAACCCGCCGCTGTGAGAGCCATGCATGAGCGATTCAAGAAGTACTCCACAAACCAGCTTCGCTCTCAGTTCACCAAAGCCAGGTGTAAGGCAATGGCTGCTGGTTGTTGTCTCGGGGACCCACAACCACCACAAGATGATGATGATGGACCACTACCCATTCTTCCCAGCTTTGTTCCTCGCAACCAAGTCCCTGTCGTGGCAGCCAGGCATCCTGCAGTTGCGCAGCTTCCTTCCATTGCTGATAATGAGGATGAGGATGATGTTGCTGATGAGGATGGCCCCACTACTTTGAAGCCGAAGAGGATGGTCAAGGAATGGAAGAATGAGCATGGAATTCACCATGTCACTATTATTGTCTGGCTGAGCATTGGCGCGACTGAAGCCGAAATTGAAACCATGGTCTCTGACAATGGCAAGAAGCTAACTATCAGTGAGAAGTGGCACCAGGACCTCTTGGATATTGGGGAGTTCTATTATCTCTATCAACAAAACACAAAGGAGAGAACCTGGAGGATACCAATGTGATGCGCGCAATGCCATGCAGCAGTATGTCATGTCCATCCTTGATGTCAGGTGTGATGTCATTTCAGAATTCACTATGGATCTGCCTTTCCAGTTGATCCTCTACTTTGAATGTTACCTTCCCCAGCTTTGAGTCTGGTGTCCATTGTTCTGCATGCATGACTTGGCTCGAGAAGAGGAAGACAGAGGGTTAGCTCAATCCTTTTCAATGGGGAGAGGGCACAGGCAAGGGCAGAAGAGGGTGATATTGACATTACAAACCTGACCCTCATCACTTAGACAAACTCAACAACAGCCATGGCTTTGATGTGTGTTAGGCACACTGTAAACAACTACAACAACCAACCAATCTAGGAGCAACCTGTTGAGTCCTCATGTAATCAACCAAAAGGGTAGCTTGTTGAATGCCCTTATAAAATAGTACTTGCATATAGTGTGTAATGGCTTGTGTAGTGGTGTAATGCGTTTTCCTGCTCCTCCCGGGTACAAGTATGATACAAGTAGCAGAGACTAACGCAGGATGTGCCGGATGAAAACGAAGATGACCGTGATGAATTGGATACAACCGCTCGCATTTTACACGTGTCCCAGAAATTCACCAAAACCGACAGCGCTACACTTGTTCGAGCCATTGCATCTATCGGCTCATCGAAGGTCCGCCCATATGGCTGCAACCCCATTCAACCAACTGAACAAGCAGACCATTTTGAAGTTTGTCAAGGGTTCAGCGACGCGTGTTCTATGGACACGACTGAAAAATGTTGTGCCGAAATGGGATGTGGTCACTGCATCTGTTTGCCATCGAGGATTTGGGCCGAGGTGCTAACGGACGTGTCTGGTTGACCTGCTCCAGTTCTGGGGCTTTGTGCATACTAAAGTTTTCCATAAGAGACAAGCTGATGGCATTGCAGAGGGGACGGCAGTAGCTCATTGTGCCAGCAGGGACATATCGCACGAGGACCATGCATGCAAAGGTGGCGGGCCCAAAGAATAGCAAGGCTGAACAAAGCTTCCAATGGGGTTCCTGGGAGCAATGCACTGCCGTTGATTCATGGCTGGTAAATGTCAATGGCCTATTTCTTTCGTGGATAAAATATTGGTCTAATCCCAGCCACATTGTAGGCCCCAGGTCTGTCCTCTCGGACCCTTTGTGCTCGATGCATTGCCAGTGGGGTTGAAATTGGTAGTGACTGGATGCTACTGATGGCATCATCTTTATACAGGCATTGCGACAATACCATTGTGTATTGACTAGTCTAAGGATCTAAGAGATGTAAAGTTTGTATTTCCAAATAAGTGAGCAGTTATTGATTATTTTCTAGAATAAGCCTGCAAATTGTAAAGCTGTAAAGCTGAATTGTAAGCTGTATCCCGTCGCACTCCCTTACAGCTGAAATGAAGCTGTAGCAAGAAACGATAGGAGAGAGTCCCCAGCAAAGTGCTGAGGTAGATTACTAGCCCATGAGGAGCTTTCGAATGACGGCAAACTGTGGAGCCGGAAGACCCTTAGTGAAGATGTCGGCCCGTTGTTCCAGAGTCGGAATGTACTTGGCCACGATGCCCTTTGACTCCCCGATATTTGACCTAAAGAAGTGGTACTTTTTAATGCCAAATACTTGTTGCGTGCTGACATCTTGGGAAACTTCACAAGAGACAAGCAAACTTGGTTGTCTTCAAACACTGAAGAGCGCACGAGACTATCAGAAATTACCGGCATATTCAGTTTGTTACCACATTTCCTTTGAGCAATAGGCTCTGGCATAGGAAAGCCCAGCTCCTCATGACCATGCCTGAGGCAACACTATCCAGAGCAGTGTGAGCCTAAAGACTAATGTTCAGTCCTGGAGCTTGCTGGACAAAATTATAGGCACAAACATAGGTCCAGAAAAAACAGTGCCAGGAGACTTGTAGGATACAGGATTGATATCTACATACAAAACAGCGGCAAGTCAGCATACACAAAATCAGTTTTGACTCAAACGCTTAGGTGCACTAAATGTTTATCCTTGTGCACCCAATCCAAGACCACGAATGTACGTTTCGATGGCCCTTGAGCAGGGGAATGACTGGGGTTGTGGCTGAATGGTGCTACCTGATGTACACAAAAGGTGATGTCTGGGGGAGAGTTGGATGACCCATGTGAGCAACCAGATAAACTGCATCAAGAATTAGTCATTTAGAAGGGACGTTTGTCGGAAGGGATGTGGGGGAAGGCTTGGCTGTGGTTTCGTGTATAATCTGTTGTATGCTTTGAGTCATTCCTTGGTTCGCTGTTTTCAGTTGTAGGATGTGTTTTTCTTTAATGGTAGGTTGTTCGCTTTGGGTGATGAGATCCATCAGATCATTTGGGACTGAGAGATTTGCGTTATTTTTCGGAGTTGTGTTTTTTTCTGTATTGATATAGGGTTTGCTGTGAGGTGTTGAACAAAAGTGGTCCATAAAATGTCCATGTTTTGGGTGTCAGTTGTCCTACATAGAAAATCTTTATGCTCAAAAGTTATTTTCAACAGTCATGTCCTTCATAGTCTTTGTGTCGATAGTACTGAGGAAATTCCATTGACTACCAATGCTCTGGTTATCTCGTTAGGACTCTGACCAGAAAGCAAGAGTTTTAAAATCCAACCTGTGTTAGATCAACATTGAGAAGTTGCAAAGAAGAACAAGGACGGTCTAATCAGTGGGGAAAGACAAGTAGCGAGACGTAATGAGTGACAAACCATTCCTATCAGGACCCTGAATGGTCTCTCTGAGACCATCATAGATTTGAAGCCATTGTTTCCAAATTGGCACCATTTTTAATCGCATTCTTTTAGAACTTCCACCCTTCCTCTACTATTATCTAAATGTCTCTCTCTATCTAAATAGATTACTGCTGCAGACATGATGTCTTACGGGGGTTGGTGGCAGTTTATCTTCCTATTCAAATTTCCACATGCTCTCCGGCTCGGAGGCTGTCTCGAACGTTGGTACATGTTGGCTGACAGTCTCATTTTCAATAGCCTCTTTTCGCATCTTCCTTTTTCGAT